TATGAAAAGTACACCTACCTCATTATGTTGAGTCATCAGTTATGGAATTGGCCCAGAGAATACTTCAATATGTTTAATTGAATTCTAAAGAATGACATCAATTTATTGTAATCCCTGGTTGTGGCTCTGTTTCCGAGCGATTGTTCTACTTCAATTTGCACATTAAGTAAACAAGTTTGACTCATTTAGAGCCCACTGTAACTGTCGGTATTCATTTCCCAGGCGGAATAATAACCATAATGTTTCTTGACATGGTTGCGAGAACAGGCAAACCTTGACATTAGCAGCTCAATTTATTGTATTATAAAGATGGTATATCCAGTTGGAGAGGGGATGTAGGCAAGCAACCCCTTCCTTCCAGATAAGAACTCCCAATTTCTAACATTAAAATTGTCAATTTCGTATAATAAATATAATCCACTGTGACCATGTGCCCCTTGTTTTACTTTCCAAAGGTCTTGGAACAGCCCCAGCCTGTTTTTTGTTTAATACTTTTGTACTTTGCAGATCTTAATCCAATATTAATTTGTCTCTAGTTTAGTTTTTAAAACTGAAAATTAAAAATCAATTGAAATTTCTTTCATTTAAACATTTTGTAGCAAGTGCAGGTGGGTATTTTAGACCCAGACCCTTATACTGTATACATTGAAAATGTTAAATACATGGGATAATGTAAGGTACTGGTACTTAAAATTCAGTAAATGATAAACAACAATTTTTTTTAACATGGCCTTTATCTGCTTGCATGTTGGATATAGTGCTGTTTTAACAAGTGTTCTGTCCTTATCTTGAGCATGTATTGGCATGTAATGATAATATAACTCATCCTGTATTGCGGCAGATGGAAGCCGAAACAATGGTAGAACCCAATCTCTGTATCCAGTTTGTAATAATGGGATATTAACAGGCAATAAAAACATCCTGATGCCATGACAAGATATCTATTCACATTTTTTTTTTTTTTAGGTTTTTCTAAAGATAACCCAATTTAAATAATCTTTATTTCCATTTGAAACCAGGAAAGCGTTCCTTTAATCAAAGCATAAAATTACTAATGTGTGATGTATTTCACCTGTCAATGAACTTAAAAATAAAAAGGGCCTATTGGAGATATGTGGTGAGGAGCCTTGGAACACAGATATGATTAAGATAGGAAATGTCAGAACAATTATACCATCATCTGAATCAACACCCTCACAGTGGTGCAACAGTGACACTATATAGCCTCAATTATAGGTCCACTTGTCCTGTATTGATACATATATCACCGTTTAAGCATATGTCTATGAGGTCATCATTCATAGTGGCAGCCAATCAGAGCATTCCTTGGTGATGGAATAGTATCTGAGAAATTCTGTGCAAGCAATGGGTAAATGTTTGCAGAAGATTATCTTCTTAAAATTACTAGTATTAGAGGGCTTTTACCGAATTAAGACTAAGCTTTAATTTTATTGATGTACATACACTGTAAACCACAGGCTAATTTTGTAAGTTTGTAAATGATTTGTTAATGCTGTAATAAATAATTGGACCTATTGTAATGTCAATCAAGACAAAAATATATTTTGTTTAAAGCAATAAATATGGTAAATAAGAAAAATTATAAAATAAAATTTGTAAAAAATATGTACTCTAATTAGACCTATACTAAATTTATAATTAATTTTTTCATATATTGACCTAAATTAGAGTTCTCTATTCCCAAAATAGGGGCTTAGTGAGAAAAATATATTTTATTGAAATAACCTTAAAATCTTCATTGAAATTATCTTTATACAAGGAAATTGATAACGACGACAATAATACTAATTAATATCTATTAAAAAAATTATCAAATTATTTGCTAATATAAAAATGGTTACTCACATTGTAGACCTTATAAGAACTTGGGTGCACTTTCAAAATTACATAATTAATAGGAAAGCTTTAAAAATAAAACTGTTCTACGTAACTAAAAAAAATTTTTTTTTTAATGTATTGTAGTATTATATTTCACTTTTCCTTCTCCTTCCCCCACCTTCTAACTGCTAAGAATCTCAAAGGAATTCAGGTGCTAATTCTTGTAAAAATAATCAACATCAAATTGTGTTTGTTTTCAATGTGGATTATGATGATAGCCTTGACATAAGTAGAAAAGCATTAGGTATTTTCCTCAGCATCTATAGCCTCAAACTGCCCCTGAACACATTATAACAGCACCTGGAGGTATTAATGGCTTCATAGTCCACACCCACCTCAGCCCCACCGTCTTTAGGCGGAAGTTTGAAAAAGTTTACTTTTAACTCCACTAGATGTCCGGAAATGTCTTAATTTGAAAATAGAAAGTTCTATTTTGAAAACAATAAATAAACATAGTAATACAGATGTTTGGCACCACGTGTAATTATGCAAGCTACGCGGCGAATTAATCAGAGTGAATCATGGCCAATCCAAAGCGTAATTAAAAATTTCATTGTGTTGTGCAAACAGACAGTTGAAATTAGGATTCTAAATTTCAATGTGGCATGGTTGGGCTATAGTATATATATTTTTTCAATTAAAACATTATGATAAAACATGTTAACATTCATCTTTCTATTTGCATCCAACAGCGGTGCATTTTTCCAAGGTAAAATTGCGTTAAATCTCGTGGGAATATGAGTTTAGTCTCTTTCTCACTTGGCTTATAATTGTTCCATCCTGTAACTGTCAAGAGTACTTGATTATATAATGTAAAAGAAATAATTTTTTTTTCTACTACACAAATGTCTTTAAAAAAATATTTTTCAGTAGTTTTAAAAATTAACATATTTTTAAAGTTTAAAATCATAGCTTAATATTGTGTGTACCTAACCAACCCTTAGATATTTTTTTTTTTTTAAATTTAACATATGAAACTTATTTTGAACTCAGAATATCATAATACGGTATTATTAATATTTTAATTTTGAACTACTTTGTGAGATGTAAATTAAATACCATTAGATAGATATTATGTTTATTGATTTCAACTCTAACAGATTTAAAACTAAAACATGAAAAGTAGGCCTAAAGAAAAACAATGGCGATGTTGCACTTTAAATATCACGAAATCGCGAAATGCAATGGCTATAAGCCTTATTATTATTTTTAATTTTGAACTACTTTGTGAGATGTAAATTAAATACCATTAGATAGATATTATGTTTATTGATTTCAACTCTAACAGATTAAAAACTAAAACATGAAAAGTAGGCCTAAAGAAAAACAATGGCGATGTTGCACTTTAAATATCACGAAATCGCGAAATGCAATGGCTATAAGCCTTTAATTAAGGAAAGCAAAGCCTATAGCCTGCAATTATAAGCCCAGGGGGATTGTTTCCAGTGAGGTCCTTGTGGTTTTGATTAACACAGGATCTGTGATTAAGATAAGGGGGAATGCAAATGATGGATTTTTAACTACCAGAGCACCAGTTGGGGCTTACTGCATAACACTTTAAGTACAAGTCCTGAGTACTAAAAAAAAGTAACATGTATAAAGCTGAGAAAGTGGTACAAC